AAACACGAGGGCGCTTGAAGCTTTTGTACCGTGCCAGGGTCAGGTCGAGCAACACAGTTTAACTTTGTGGGATGGTCAGCTGATGCCATCCCATGTATGCGCGTAAAGAGATGCTGAGAGCCTTTCGATTTACCAATGTTCACCTCAGTCGTGTGAACTCAGTCCACTGCTTCGTGCGGGCCAGACATGGGTAAGACATGGGTTCAGTTCCTGCTCCGTACCTTTCGCCAATCTTGATTCAACATTGATTCATTGAAAGGATTCAGTTCCTGATCGTAATTCACTCGTCAAATGTGAGACACCAGGACTCCTTGACTGAGAGTTTCGACTTTCTCATACTTTCTCCAGTGACTCCTCCGGCAACGGGATCCTTTTCTTCCCACGCCTTCGCCTTGCGGCACCCAGCCGCACTGAGGGGGGCTCTGAGCATCGGGCCGTATTTCGAGATCCTGGCGGTGGCTCGGGACGCCTGGTGGCGGTTTTGGTTCGGTTGAGATTGGAAGATGGTGGAGACCGGCCACTGAGGCGTTCCCCTCTATGTTTGGTGTGTATCTTTTGACCTGGCGGCTGGGTAGACTGGTCTACTTTCCCTCTTCCAGGCTTCCAGGGGGTGTTTGGGAGTAATCAGGATGCATACTGATGGGTTTGTGAGGTCTTTGTCACTATATTTTAACTACAATTAGTATAAATACATATAAATATTATGCATAGATTAATCCTAATATGTTACACTTAAACATCAAATTCATCCAATCATGATATCAGGACCTTGGGCGGTTTTCCAAAGTTCAACAACATGGCCAGGGCCTGGTTCAGTTCAGCTCCTGAAGGTCTGTTGGGACAGCTTGAAGACGGCCAAAACGATGAACTGCAGTTGCATCCTTTGAAGAAGTACCTCATAGCGCGACGCGCTTTGAATCCGGCAGTGGCACGGCCCATGTTGTCCGGTGCTGAACAAGCACCTCATCCAACCCACGCGCCATCCGTCCGCTGCGCCCGGCCCCGCGCGCGGAGCGCCTCGGTGACTGCTTTTCCAGTGGTGTGTCCGCAGGGCCCTCCACGGCCCTGTCACATCCAACAGCACCGGAACATCGCATCGTCCGGTTCAAAAACCCTTTCCTGCCAGACCCTTCTTGTGCTGTTCCAATCGCATCGTCCTCAAAGAAGGGCTTCAACATTTTGTGCTGTTGGAACAGCCAAACGCAGGATCTGGCGGCCAGGCACATGTTTGTGCCTCCACACGGTGTTCTGTTGACACCATGGCAGGCGACGGTCACGTGGATGAGAAAGTGTGATGCCGGTTCCTGCCCACACGACATGTCCTTGTGCCTATAATGCCTTGTTTGAAAATATTTGAACAGCAACTATAGGCAGCCAGCTGTGTTTCCAGACTGGACACGATCTTCATCAACACTGCCATATTCATCGACCTTCGAACGCGTCAATGTTCGAATCCGAGCGTTCGAATCACTGGTTCACAAGGCAAGGCCTTGATGGACTGAGTTGACCCATGAACCACCAGTTCTTCTTCGTGTTCTTCTTCTATCTTACACCATCAGAGGGCACAGGAACCTGCACAGTTGCTCACAACAAAATCGAGTGTCGTTAGCCCGCAGTGGTGTAGCAGGTAAACCAAGGAATGGAGGACCATTCAGAAACTACTAGCTCCGATTCAGAAACTTGGGTAAACCGAGTGTCATTACCCCCACCCGACCGCAGAACAGGCCCCGGCACGAACACCGGTCGAACACCGCGGCACGGGTGGAGGCAACGCATGGTCCTCCATAGGCAACGCATGGTCCTCCTTCGCGCGGTGTGCGAAGAAGTCCATGTTCCCGCCTCCAAAAGCGTTCCTCCCTGCAGAAAGGGGTAGCGTCAGAGCCAAAGACCAAGACATATGATATATCATCCTCGTAGTCCTCGTGGTCGGTGTTGTTCTTGGAACCTGAAAAAGTCCACTCCCAAAAGCCTGACGCTATTAGCTATTTAGTAGCACTGTTCGATACGAACCGAGCGATCGCACGCTACGATCGGGGCTCCTGGCCTTACTACGAACGGAGCAAGAAGGCTACGTGCATCGGCCGTCATCCATGACGTGATCAGTCGAGGCCTTGGACGATGCGGTGCTGCAGGCCGCAGCTGCCATCACTGACTGCAGTGCTGCTCGGGAGGCCGCTGGGGCGGTCCCGTATCGACGAAGACAACAGGTCGAGGAGCATCAGATACAAAACCTTCAGAGTCAAGTAGTGTATAACTAGGCGTGATAATTGCGTGATATGTGGATGGACTTGTCTGTAAATCAAGTGCAGGCACCATTGCTGCAGGATTTCTAGTACAGGCATTTTGCCTTGTGCTTCAACTATACAGATACCCAAGGCATTTTTAACAGTTTACTCTGATATACTCTGATGCTGGGTAGGGGGATAGTACTTTTGACAATTTTGTCAAATCCATCTGACAATTTTGTGCGGGCCTTTCAATGTGGAGTCATACAATTGAGGCACCAGATGGGCCAGATTCTGTGGCACGAACTGCTTGTGAGCTTTGGGAGATGAGGATCTCTTCAACTCTTGGTCTGTGAGGGTTATATGTTAAACTGTTTATACGTTTCTTTCCTGCCTGAACTGAGTATGTTATCACGATAGTACAATGACGTGTGTGTATATACATATACAGTATACAGTATATACACATATGATTTGAGCACTGGGCCAGTGCTTGGAAACCAGTGAGACTTCGTCTCTTCTTTTGTGCAGTCCTCCATCGGCACTGAATAGCCCAATAGAGATTGAAGGCCAATGGATGCCAGTCGCGAGGGAATGCTGACCCAACGAGGATGCCAAGATGTATAAGATGTGGCAGCTTTCTTACCGAAGAGAGCTCTTAGTGACTGAACCTCGTCACATGTAGTAATTGCGGATTTCAGGCTATGGTGATCTGTACCTCCCTGACCCTGATCTTGACATGCTTTTGTCTCTGGATTTTATGTTTTGTTTGTTTAATACATTATAGTTGAGTCCAGCTTAAAATTAAACATTACATTGCGAAAAGAGATGCCGTGGGTTGAAACCTCTGAGGTTGGAAAACCGGTATATGGATATGTATATATCATACATATGATGTATACATATATTATATATAACTATAGATACTAAATAGTCGGATGTTCTTCTTGACCGGAGTCCTGGCATCTACGACCATGCACAAATCTGCTCCGTTGACCAGTGGTCATCTGGTGATGAGAAGTCAACACAGGCGACACAGACCCGCGACATCTGAATACATGTCATGATTATAGCGAGGCCTCAACCTAAGAGCGATGGCCTCCAACCTAAGAGCGATGGCCTCCAACC